CTTCCCGAAACGTTTCGGAAAATGAACTTACACTAAGCAGAAAACTAAACCTAAACCTAAACATAAACATAAACTACCAACCTAAACTAGTTTTGGGTGGTTTCGGGTTATTCTTTCCCAACTAGAGCTTGATCCAAATATGGTTTCGATAAACGGATACCCTACTAAATATCCGGATATTAATACTCGGACCTCAAACTCTACTCTAAACTAAGGATTTTGAGTCACAGAATTGATTCACGTGTAGACCGAACAATCACATCAAATTTGCGCACGTTTTTATATATGGAAAAACATAAACAAAGACTATGTACAGCATTTAATGATTATTTTTGATTTATTTTAATTATAACAATTATTTAATTAGTGTCATAATATATTAATTAATAATTATGATTTTCTGATTTTATTGATGTAAATGATGACTATGACTATTATTTTTCTTTAAAAAAACACACATTTAGTAAAATGTACATCTAATTTTTTATTAATAAAAATAAATTAGAAATTATGGATGGCGTACGATGGAGTAGAGTTTGGAACCGCCGGATATTCAACGGCCTTATCCGATCGGATCGGATAATGATATTAGGAGCGGGCGTATAGTGTAACATTGGCGCAAAAAATGCGTATTTGAAAAGATATATATCAAGACAATGACAAATATGGACTATATGAGAGTGAAAAAGAAACTAAATTTAATGAATCAGATATACTTTATGAAGTGCCTGAAGAAAATAAAGATACTAGCTCCAATAAACCACTTACTACTCAAAGAAAACGATACAAATCTAACAAAGAAATCGAAGAATTTGAAGCTCTGTCAAATGATTCTTTTGAATTATTTACAATTGTAGGAATACTAAACAATCCATCCACTCTTTCTAACTGGGTATGGAAATGGAGCCAACATTCTAAAGATAGATTATACTATATTTACCCAGTGAATGACTTCTTTCCCATGCGAATTTGATTATGAATAGGAAACAAATACATTTAAAAAAATATTGTTTTTAATTAATATCCATTTCATTAGAATCAGGATTTGAAAAATGAACATCCTTATGAGGTTCCTCTACAAAATTCCTAATTTTTTTTGTATAAATATAATTTTCTTTCCAAATCTATATTAATTGGAATAATATTAATGGGTTCATTATGACTAAAGTTATTATCTTTTAAAATATTAATCCATTTCTCTTCACCACCAGATTTTGTTGAAACAAATACTTTTTTCAGGCAGATTATTAAATCTAAAATGATGATATTGCTTTATATTAGGTAAAGTTTTAAATTTTTTTCAAATAATTCTCCAAAATTGTACCATTCCCACCCTAAACCATTTTCATATTGTATTAATTCATTTCCTTCTGAAGAATTATTAATAACATTTTCAATGTCTTTGATTTGATTAAATTTACTATTTCTATATAATTTTTTTATGTGTCCAAAAAAAAAATCACATATAAATTTTGTATGTCCTGGAATCAGCCAAAGAGATAAGTTATTTTTATTTTGTCCAGAGCAATTATCACAAGTTATATGTAATTTTTTTTACCATTCTTTGCAAATATTTGCAGAGCCTGATAAACTAAATTTAAAGTAGTATTTGCTCCTTTAGATGT